TCAAAAGGCTCGTTCATTTCCGTCATGCAGCCACACCACCATGACGATTGTGGACTAATCGAACAACTAGTTCCAATGTTTCATCTGAAAAGATCTTTGTATCACCCCTCTATAGAAATCGATTGTGTCACCATACTCTATACCATCAAAATGAAAATCAAAATTGTCTTATTTACGTATTGTTGAATTTGGGTCTGTGTGTTACATTAACATCGATATTAGCGACATCGTCACCACCATCACCAACTCCATGTTTTTGTGGCACATCACATTAACTATGGCCTCTGGTTCTACATCAACCGTTTCTATGTCATCCGCAATCAGAATCTAGCTTGTGTGCATTACCCATTGCATCAGGTCCATTCTCATTTAAATAATTTATTAAGGCGAGTAAGAAGGGGTGGCTTGTGACAACTGTGTGACATCTTTTTTCACCTTGTGGCATTTCGTAAATGGTTTGTTTTGATGCCTTTTTTGGGGGAACATTGCATCTGCTGTTTTAGGGGTGGTTGTAGGAAACACAGTCAGAGCATGTGTCTACCCCCCCATTATCAGACAACTGACAAGATGCAGGTTAATGTAAAAGCCTACACTGCATTTCATGTGGTTTATCACAGTAAGTCTATTTATTATAACCTCAAAATACACCAGATCGACATAACGTCCTAAAAAAATGTCATGCCTTCCAGTAAGCTGGCCAACAGGCTATTATAAAGTAATCTGTCATATATATTAAATTCATGACAAATTTAAAACTCAGTTCCTTTACAATAATCTTTATTTAAATACCCAAAAGCATTTCGAAATGTTAACGATACATACAGTCGCTCCTCTGTTTATGATGGCTCGACTTAAAATATTGACGTTACGATAGGATAGCGATGCGCATTCAGCAGTCAGCTATGAATTTTGCTCTGCTTCCCGGCTAGCGATACGCCGTGTGATACAGTCTACTGATATCGGGCGAATGCAGCATCTGTGAGCAGGGAGCGGAGAAGCAGGACCGAGCACACGGAAATCCAAAACCAGGGTTTATTGGTGGCACAACACGGCACAGTGAACACGTTAATGACAGTGTCACAGCACTGGGCTAAGAGTTTGGGGGAAACACCCCGTAAGACACCAACTACGCCACCCTGGGAAATAGTTCCTTAGCTAAATAAAACTCCAAAAAGGCACTGAGGTCCGTTATACATGGCAGCAAGAGATGTGACTCCACTTACAATCTTTTATTAGCAATCACAATAATAAAACACCATCCACACTACAAAGTAAAACCTCAGGGCTGGTGCACACAGGATAGGGAGGTAAAGCAGTCATAAGATGGCATCCTGGAACAAAAGCACTACAATTCCCATGCACACATACCAGTGCCCTGCTGCTGGGCACAACACAAAACGCCACCACATCAAAGTTCCCTTCCTCCCTAGTGGCGTACCAACCCAAAACAGTCTTACACAAAATAAAAACCCTCACCCTAGGCAATTAAGCCTGGAAGAACCAGTTAACAGGGAATTACAATCCACCAATCCCCACATTCACAATACAGCAAGAGAGGCAAAGCAGCAGCAACTGTAGGGCAGGCAATCCAGACCGCAGCTGTAATAGAGCAGGCAGAACAGCAACACTTAATGGTGATTCATGATCTTCCCGACCAACCGGATAAACGTCTCCCTCCGTGTTGCCTGCAAAGAATGATGCCAGGCAAAACAAATTGATTAAAAACACATGATCACTGACAGATCGAACTTACGGGTGAATTTACAAGATAAGCCCATTATCCAGTCGCCAGCACCACTGCTTACCCGCAGCAACGTGCACCCAGGCACAAACATTTGAATACGAGTTGGCCGAAACAGAATGGAGTAAAACATACCCACCGCCACCTACCAAACAGTAGCTTCCAATGAATCTGTCGTATGCAGATCTACAAGACAAACAATAAATTCAAAGAGCCACGAGTGTGACCTACAACAGCAAGGAAAGACGCAGAACAGCCCACTGCATACCTTTAACCACGCAAAGTCAGGTAACCAGAAGAACACCTTACCAGCGTTAGATCCCCAGCCAACCACTGCCACTTTTATAGGGTGCTACCTCTAACTACGATAATCGCCCCGCAGATTTAAAGGCACAGCTACCCAAAATAGCCATTCTGCCACAACCGGACAGGGGAAACAAACTTGAACGCGGACTAAATACACAGGACTACTCAGAAATAACACGAAACAGCTGAATGCAATCAGGAATTGACATGAGGTAATGAGGGGGCGTGGCACACGGAA